AACATGTTCTAGAAGTTTTTCATTTTCAAAACCAAGAGGTTGATGAACATAAACTTCCTCTTCTATAATACCATTTAAGAAGACACTCTTAACATCCATCTGATATAGAGTGATGTTATTTTGTGCAGCAAAAGAAATAAGCAAGCGAATAGATTCTGACCTGGCCACAGGAGCATAAGTCTCTGTGTAATCAATTTCTTCTTGCTAACTATATCCTTGAGCAACTACCCTAGCTTTGTTTCTGACTACTTCTCCTTGCTCATTTAGCTTGTTTCTGAAGACCCATTTAGTTCCAATGATATTAAATCCTTTTGGTTTTGGAACCAGATCCCAAACATCATTCCTAGTGAATTGGTTGAGCTTCTCTTGCATGGCAAGTATCCAATCATTATCTTGCAGAGCTTCATCCGCAGAGGTTGGTTCAATAACTGACACCAAACCAAATAATAACGTTCCAGATGATCTGATGAAAGATCTTGTTCTGATAGGGCCATCCTTCTTTCCAATGATCATTTCTTCTGGATGAGAGGATTTGATTCTGGATGATCCTTTAACAGTTGGTTCTTCAAAAATGTTCAAGTTATCCATTTGAGTAGCCAAGGGAGTAGCATCTGGCGTTGCTTCTGGTTCTTTCACTTGAGCTTTGTCTGCCTCTGAATCTTCAGAGTCTATGAGAAGCACTTCTCTATCAATAGTTCCAGAGCCAATTAGCTTGCCCTTCTGGTTCCCTCCAAACTTGACGTCTCCTCCAGATCTAAGTTCCAGGCTTTGGAACATAGAACTTCTTCCCATCATGTGACGTGAGCAGCCAGAGTCCAGGTACCATGATTGGTGTCTTGACTTTGCTGCTAAGGACATCTACAACAAATATTATTTTGTCCTTAGGTACCTAGATCTTTTTGGGTCCTTTAGGGTTAGTTGCCTTAAAGTTTTGTCTGAACTTCTGTCTTTTGACAACAGGTTTGTTCTGACGTATTTTAGGTTTAAACACAGGAGTGTTCTGATCAGAACGTGTGTGCTTAATATCATTAAGGTGACCATACTTAAAGTGAGTATACAGAGGACTATGCTTAATGATCAGCTTATCAACAGGTTTTGGATGTAAATCCTTCCCATATGGTGATTCATATCCAACACCCTTCCTGTTGTTTCTGCTTACGCCATAGATCATGGAAACCATCTTTCTTCTATCTAGGTCTTTGGACAAAAACTTCTGAAAACTATAGTCATATTCTTCTAAAATGTTTTTAGATTTTGACTTAGTTTCAACTTCAGAATCTTGTTGAGTTTTTTCTAAATCATTTTTAATTTTAAAATTGTTTGCTTTAAGCTCAGTAACTTCTGATTTCAGAAGATCATTCTCAGATACAAGGTTGCTTTGAAGCTTCTTGTACTTGAGCTTAATCTTACTATAGTTTTCCAGCATTTCAGATAAACTCTCAATAAGTTCAGCTCTTGTAAGTTCAGAAAATACCTCTTCTGAATCTGATTCAGATTTAGATTCAGATATCTCTTCGTGATTTTCTGCATCAGCCATCAGTGCCATATTTGCACATTCTTCTTCTGACTCTGATGAGGATTCAGATGCATCTGAATCATTCCATGTGGCCATCAGAACTTTCTTCTTCTTCTCAAACTTCTTTCTAGGTTTCTCCTTCAGAAGTTTGGGACATTCATTTTTATAGTGCCCTGGCTCCTCGCACTCGTAGTAGACCACTTCTTTCTTCCTAGATCTTCTGTGTCCAGAAGACTCTCCACATTGATATGGTTTCTTGAAGTTTCTAAACTTCTTTTGTTTATGCTTCCAGAGTTGGTTGATCCTTCTGGACAACAGGGACAATTCATCTTCTTCAGAGGAAGATTCTTTAGAGCTTTCTTCAATAACCTGCAAAGCTTTAACAGCTTTCTTAGACTTTAATGCAACAGACTTACCTTTCTTTTGAGGCTCGTCTTCTTCCAGCTCAATCTCATGGCTTCTTAAGGAATCGATCAGTTCCTCCAGCGTGATCTTATTCAGATCCTTTGCAAGCTTCAGTGCTGTGACCATTGGTCTCCACCTTGTTGGCAAGCTTCTGATGATCTTCTTGACGTGATCAGCAGTGGAGTAACCTTTGTCCAGAACCTTCAGACCAGCAGTTAGAATCTGAAACCTTGAGAACATAGCTTCCACAGATTCAGATTCCTCCATCTTGAAGGCTTCGTATTTTTGGACGAGCGCCAGAGCCTTGGTCTCCTTCACTTGGGAGTTTCCTTCATGAGTCATCTTCAAAGATTCAAACATATCAAATGTCGTTTCTTTGTTTGTGATCTTCTCATACTTAGTATGAGATATAACATTTAATAGAATGGTTCTTGCTTTGTGATGATTCCTGAATTCTCTCTTCTGAGCTTCAGTCATCGACTTTCTGTCAATCTTTTTGCCATCCCCATCAGTGGGGTGAACATAACCATCAATGACCAAATCCCAAAGGTCAGCATCATAGTCTAGAAAGAAGCTTTCTATTCTATCTTTCCATTAATCAAACTTCTCACCATCAAACATGGGAGGTTTGGTGCTGATTCTATCTATATCTTCATATTTGTTGTTTGATGTTGAAGCTTCAGCCATAATGTATCAAAAAATATATATCAAGAGTTTTCCCAACTGGATTTTTCTCTTTCACTGTTAAGTGATAGCACTACAGAGCCGGAGCTCTGATACCAACTGAAGGTGGGAAAAATACTTAGAATGGGGGTTAAATAAGGGTTTTGAAGCAATTATGACTATAGAAAAAATAACACAGTATTTTTATCCTGGTTCGTTTGAACTCAAACTAATCCAGTCCACCCTACCAAGGTGATTTGCCTTTCTCAACAAGGACTTAATCCACTATATCAAACTGATTACAGTGTCAACCATTAAGAGACTGTCTTAGTCTTCTCAAGAAATTCTGACCACAACTTGGTCTTCTTAAGGAACTTTTACAAAGATGTAACTTAACAAAGTGTTTTAAATGCTTCTAAAAAGCTATAATCACAACTGTGATTTTTACACTAGTTTAAGAACGAATAAAGAAAACTATTCAGCTTGAAGAATATTTGAATGAGAGCTTGAGACTAGTTTTTCAAATTGATTTGTCAATAATTCGTCAACTTTGATATGTTGTTGAAGACTTGCTTTTATAGTGCTGAAAGTCCATTGCTTGAAGACTGTGCACTGCTGAGTAGCTGTAACCTTTTGTCTTCTATTGAATTTTACTTTTCCAGAAGAGGAATGTTCAGACAAATCCCTTTTGTCTGATTTCCTGTGCCATACACGAATAAGGAAATAGTCGTTCAGATAAGGACAAGGAATATGCCAACGGATCTTTATTTGAACAACATCTTCTTCAACAAGTTTCTTTATCAAAGTATCTATATCAGAGTTGATGTCATCAAAGTTTTGCAGCAAATGTGCTTCAGCGTGAATATCTCAATCAGATCAGAGTTGTTTATCAGAGCCTCTGTACTTGCAGCGTAAAGTACTTCCAGAGTCTTCTGAAACAATGCTTTATGCTCTTCACACAAATTCTTCAGCTACGCTTCAGAGTCTTCTGCAGCTTCTGCTTCAGAGTCTTCTGCAGCTTCTGCTCAGAGTCTCTTCAGGCAGCGCTCAGAGTCTTCTGATGAGTTGCTTCTGTTGCTCAGAGCCTTGCGTAGAATAATGCTCAGATGCATTTTTGCTTCCAGATGCATATTTAATTTAATATTTGAAACAAAAACACTTGAACAAAATTAGAGTATATATTTATCTCATACAAAATTTCATTAGTGTTATCATCAAAACATAGAGATATATTTAAGAACCAATCTGTGTTCTAACAGAGTTTGGTTAGGAAACAAAATTAGCCTTGGAATTTGAATTTGGAGGAAAAATCATAATCGGAGCTCTAGATGCCAAATGTTGGAATTCAACCACAACCTATGGGAAATTCCTATTCAATCTCGATCTCAAGATTGTTATCAATCACATAATGACAATGAACAATTTAGAGAGAAAGAAAGAAAAACGTTGGAGAAGAAGATGAAAAATCTACAGAGTTCTTTCTGCCCACAAACTGTGAAATATTTTCTTGTTTCACTTGCAAGTGCAAACTGTGATGTGTTGTATACAAAATAAGGGTTATTCCCTATTTATAAATTTAGCTTAGCTTGCACCCCAAGCCAAATCCCAAAACTATAAAAGCCCAAAATAACTAACATTACTAAAATAAGTCTAAGTCGAAATCCTGTGTGAAACAATCTGCTTCGACACTTCGACACACTATTACAACTCGACACATATATATCTTGACACAAAAAGTTACATTCTCAACACAAGGCACATCCTCCCTCCGTCCCACAATAAGTGACCTATTTGAAATAAAATAGTGTCCCAAAATGAATGACCCATTTCAATTTCCAATGCATATTTTTTAATTTTACCATTTAATTAATACTCCATCCGTCCTAGAATGTGTGACCCATTTAGAATAAAAGAGTGTCCTCTCATTAGTATTATTTTCATCATTCCTAATACATGATAATAATCCTTTAGTAAAAATATCATTATTTTTTTTTTTAATTATTTTTTTTTCTTAATATGTGTAAAATGATTAACCAAATCACTCCGAGAGAATATTATTTTCCATCATTTCTAATACATGATAAAATGAATGATCTATTTCTTAAGTTGAGATTTGAGACAAACTTTGAGAGTGTGATTTCCTATTGTAGAATTTATATGCAGCTTCACACCGTAGGCAATATCAATTGTTGATTTGAAATCGGACAGTTACTATATCAAACTCAATATAATACAGTCAAACAATCTCAGCTGTCGATTTAAGATCGAAAGGCTCATATTCATTAGAGCATCCTGCTGTAACAGTAGAACATCTAAATCCTTCGCTTTGTACCAAAAATAAATAGAAAAAAGGGATTCTGGAAGTTTCTTTTTCAATTTCAACAACCAGTTACTCCAGTCACCGACGGTGTAACACATGGAAGCTTCAACCGCGGCGGAGGCACCATCTCCGACGGTGAGTCAGAGAGATCAATGGATAGTAGAATCGCAGGTCTTTCATATTTATCAACTCTTCGCCAACATTCCTCCTAACGCCCAATCTGTCATGTAACTAAACATCACTTCATTCTCAATTTCTCACTTTTTCAATTCTTCAATACTTCAGTTTTTCAATTCCAAAATCAAATTTCATATATATTTCTATTCTGTTTTCACTTTTTAGGTTAGAGTTGCAACGAGATAAGCACATTGAGTACCTTTCCAAAGGACTTCGCCACCTCGGTTCAACTTTTTCCGTCTTAGATGCAAAGTATCAATTTCTTTGTGTTTAGATTCTTTTGTTTCTGTGATCATTGTAAATTCTGTTAAGGTTTTTTTGATTTTTGAAAATATTGAAGTGTTATTGTGGTTTATGGTGCAGTCGACCTTGGCTGTGTTACTGGATTATTCATTCAATTGCTTTGTTGGGAGAATCTATTGATGATGGTCTCGAAGATAACACCGTCGATTTTCTTAACCGTTGCCAGGTTTATGTTATTTTCATATATCACTTGAGAAATTATGAATGAAAGCAAACAATCTAGACAATGTATGTAAGATTAATTTGCATTAATTGTGCATGTGCTTTAACTCTATATCTCAATGTTTGCGTTTGTATGTTTGTTTAGGAAATGCTTTTATGAATGACACAATCATGAAATATGATTGGACATTTCTGCAAAATGTTTTTACAATGTCACTACTTTGATATTGAACTCTTCATTTTATGTATCTTTTATTCAAACTTCCATTTTAATACATGGATCCAATCATGTTTTGACTATTTCTAAATGTCATGAAAATGCGAGCCTATTTGGTTATGCTGGCAATTAAAAAAGTGTTAACTGAAAATGAAAACAAATGATTAACTAAAAACCACACAGGAAATTCATTTCATAGACCAAGAGAATGTTGTTACAAGATAGCTCAACTTGAAGCATGCAATAAATATGTTGTTAAGATGGGTATGAGCAAGCTTTTCAATGGTGTTTGCGTTGCGGCCGGTTCTTGATATTATAGAGAATCACGGTCAAATGCGATTGTAATCACGATTGCAGAAGCATAAAAAACCTTGACGTTTTTAGAACCTTGGGTACGAGTATACGTTGATAGCATAAATTAGTTTTATTTAGTTTTAAATATATGTTCAGTCATATTTTACTATTTCCCCCCATTATAATAGTACTTCCTAAAATTTGCTTACACTGTGCTAAGATGGTGAAATATGATTATACATTTGTGTGTTTAGATTGTCCATGTATAGTTTATCTTGATTGGAAAATGACAGTTAAGGACTATATTGTATTACTAACTCCAGACTCTAGGGCCTAATTTTTTTTTCCAACAGAGCCATTATTTGTTTGGACACATTTTCTTATGTAATGGTTTTGATTGGCCGTGTCAAACATGCCCAAATATTCTGTTAATTGTCAGTTTTATGTTGGTAGTATTTAAGAGATAGTTTTTAGATGGCTACTTTGTTTTTACTATCCCATTTTTACCTGCTTACGAATCTCTTGTTCTTCAAATGCTAACAGGATCCAAATGGTGGATATGCTGGGGGACCTGGTCAGGCAAGCAACTGTGTGCTTTTCACCTATTTCTACATGAACATGAAGCACTATTTTTGTTGAATATGATTCGTAGTTTCTCGATTGTTCGAACCAGATTTTATTTTCTCTTGATAGTTGCTACCAACTCTTATGTATATGATCTTATTTAATACCATGGTTATGTTTTTTTTTTTTTTTAATTTTAGTATAATATGCCCATAATTCTATATGATGTATAGATCCTTCTCAAAAATAGATATCGTTCCTTCCTTTTCAAAGACTAAGGAAATATGTCAAAGGGAGGTTTGGTCTATGAAGCACGCACGGACACCCCAAGCACAACACCGACACTGACACATCGACACTTGTAATAATTAGAAAATGAATAAATTGAATGTAATCACAAGTGTTGGTGTAGGTGTCCGACACCGACACTGACACAAACAGGTCTTTTTTCAGAGGTGTCGGTGCTACATAGGGTTTGGCAGCATGATTCAGTTGTCTGGTGTAAGAGGGCTGTAGTGTTTGACTTCATTCCATATTCAGTTGAATTAGTTTCAGTTATTTTTATCCCTCTTTCCCCATTTTGTTGAAGGGAGTTCTAGTCAAACCGTACTTTATTACCTTATTTTTTCCCCATGTAATAAATATGCCATGTATTTGTTGGGTCAACTTTTTGCTGTAACTGCAGTCTTGGAAGGAATAGAAAAAGCTTTTCATAATTCAAATTGTGACTTTCGTACTCTTAATTGTTTGAAAAGCATAATGCTTATAATATCTTTGAAATCTTCCTCAGATGCCTCATCTTGCCACAACTTATGCTGCAGTCAATACTCTTATTACTCTGGGTGGTGAGAAATCTTTGGCATCTGTTAATAGGTGGTCAGTTTATGCTCTTCAAAGCAATGTTCTTGCAATAATTTTTTTTAATCTTTTATTTGGTAGAGTTATGTTCTTGTGCATCTGGAATTGATCTGTACTTTGAAAATATTATTTTCAGAGATAAGTTGTATGGGTTTATGCGGCGGATGAAACAGCCAAACGGCGGATTCAGGTCTGTTATTGTATTCATCTATGTGCCTTCAATTAAACAATATGAAATTACATTATCCATTTTTAGTTGTATCTGGCTGCTTTGGCACGTTAATGCTTGAACACATTGCATATATACACATTATTCACACATCTGAACAATGGCAGGTTTTGATTTGGTAATGTTTGTGGGGCCAGTTGTGTGAAAATTTGAATCTGCCATCATGCACAAATATAAATGGAGTGACTTTGAGTCTCGTGTTAAAAGCACTTTTATTGCTAATTATTGAACTTGTTGACACATTCAGAGTTATTTGGGTAACCATATTTTTTTATTCATTATTTTCTTTTTCAATCATCAAATGCTTTATTAAGGATGCACGACGAGGGGGAAATTGATGTTCGAGCTTGCTACACTGCCATCTCTGTAAGTTGAACACATGCTTATGCAGTTATATATAAATATGATTATATGCACATATATTGCACTTTTTTGGATCAACATCATGCATTGTTTTACTAGTTATTATAATGGCCATTTTATTGTATTAGACATGGCTCATATAGCATATTACTAGTCAGAAATGACAGGATGTCAAAGCTATTGGCTATGACTTTGACCTTTCTACCGTTATCCTCTATTATTTTCATTGAGACAGTGAAATACTTTTAATGCTAAGGCTACTAGTATCTGTTGCATAACATTGGGAATATCGTTGGAGCCAGGTAGCAAGTGTTCTGAACATTATGGATGATGAGCTGATCAAGAATGTCGGAGACTTCATTTTAAGGTTAGTTTCAAGAAGAACTTGCTTTAGTTTTGAAATTACATCGCTGGATTGTACAACATTTTAATGTTAATTTCAAAAAACACTTGCAATGTTTAAAATAGAAACTTTGTACAAGTCAAACTCATTACTTTTGTTCCTACTGTTTTGATTGTTGAGTAGATTTCCTTAAGAGCAATTTGCAAATTGGAAGGGTTTAAAGTAAGCTGGCATCTGAGAAAACATTTTTAATGATCTATTCGTTAAGTATGTAGGGCATTGCGTGTGATCTTTAAAGTATAAACACTGGTAACAATTTAAAGCGACATTACATAAGTCATGACTTTGTTGGTATGTATGACAGTGAAGGGTACTGAGTTCTCTCCATTTTTGCTAATCTAATGATTTTGGCAATAAGGCAAACTGTCATCTTTTCATTAACTATTTTTGTCCGTAAATGGTACCTCTAACTCTAAGTGTATAACATTCGGTAATAGATTAATACCACTGCGAATACCAGAAAGTCCCAATAGCCACAATATTTGGTACCTTGGGGTATTGAAGTAACGAGTTATCTCCATTTATTATTATTCCTCCTATTTGACAATTTTGCAGAGATCTAAATTTCTTACTGAGAATAGTTCATTTGTCAACTAGAGAAATTAAACAATTGATTGCATACTGTGCATTATCTGCTATGTAAAATGTAATACATGTATTGTGTCTATGTTGTTTATTTGCAGCTGTCAAACATACGAGGGAGGCATTGCTGGTGAGCCTGGGTCTGAGGCTCATGGCGGGTATGTATCATCATACTCTCCATCTCTCGTTTCTTATTATACATCTTCACAATAATATGATTTGGAATAAATAACAAAAGGAGGTTTGATAAGTCATCTTATGTTTTTACCATTTTTTTTATCAGGTATACCTTTTGTGGGTTAGCTGCAATGGTTCTGATTGGTGAGGTTAATCGCTTGGATCTGCCTCGTTTACTTGTAAGAGAGTTTCTCTTTTTAGTATCTTCCAATTAGTTGCAAGAGCTTTTGGACTTGTATGAAATTTATATATTTCCTTGCATTAGGATTGGGTTGTGTTTCGGCAAGGTAAAGAGTGTGGGTTTCAGGGGAGAACGAATAAGTTGGTGGATGGATGCTACTCGTTTTGGCAGGTGATTGAAATTTGAAATTTTCTTCGTCAGTCTTCTTTGTGATATAGTTGGCTTACAATATGAAAGTAATTAATCAGGGAGGTGCTGTTGCCCTATTGCAAAGATTACATTCTATTATCGACGAACAAATGGCAGAGACATCACAGTTTGTTACAGCATCTGATGCACCTGAAGAAAAGGAATGTTTGGACGGAACCTCAAATCACGCAACTTCCCGTATCAGGCATGAAGGTAGGTTGACTTTGAAAAAGTTCTTTAATCATGAAGTAAAGTTTTCCCCTGAACATATACATATTTTAGTTTCTCATGACATGAACTAACAGTAACACTTGACTTTTAATTCGAATCCTTGCAGGCATGAATGAATCCTGCTCATCTGACATTAAAAATATTGGTTATAACTTTATTAGTGAGTGGAGAGAAAGTGAACCACTTTTTCACAGCATGGCCTTACAGCAATATATTCTTTTATGTTCACAGGTATGCACTTTATATTTGGTATATTTGTTTCATGACTTGATCCCTTGAAGCTTGAAATGGAAGTTCTGCTTTATGCGGTTTCATTATAATTTCTTTCATTTTTCATCCATTGGTCAACCATTAATCTATGCTTGATTGATGCAGGAGCAAGATGGTGGACTCAGGGACAAACCGGGTAAACGCAGGGATCATTATCATTCATGTTACTGTTTAAGTGGGCTGTCACTGTGCCAGTATAGTTGGTCAAAGCGCCCAGATTCTCCACCGCTGCCTAAGGTAGTAATGGGCCCATACTCCAATCTCTTAGAACCCATCCATCCTCTCTTTAATGTTGTTTTGGATCGATATCGTGAAGCTCATGAATTCTTTGCTCAGTTGTGACTTGTGACAGGGTTTTAGCTACCAATAGTTCGATCTGTAGAATGTAAAATGTAAACTAAATTTTGAAATACCAAAAAGATATTACTGGATGAAATTCACGGGGATCTAATAAAACTGCGTGGTTTTCATTTCTGATTTGATTTTGATTTACACGAGTTAAAACGTTAAACCCTTCTTATTCATACATTTGTTAAGAGCTTAAGGCTTAATGGTTAAGCCAATGTTATAAACATTTAGGCCGATAGCTGTTGCTTATCATCAATGGTAATATTAATAAGCAAACAAAATCATTCAGGCATTTTATAATTTTGATATATTTAAGAACTTTAATGATAATGTCTTGTACATCTAAATCAAAACAACTGTTTACTCTTATTTTTTAAAGTTTAAAGGAAACAATATTCACTCTCCAAGAGTTCTTGTTTAGTTTTAAAAAATTGCTTTTTTTTTAAAATTAAAAAACTTGGTTGAAAGGCTTCTTTTTAAAAATAGTTTTTCAAAAGTATTTTTATTTCAGTTTTTAAATTAAAAAAAATTAAGAATAAATAAATATGTTTTGCTTTTCAATTTTAAGTTTATAGAACACAACAGGAAAAAATGTCACTTTTAATGACACAAATGTAATTATGTAAATCTGAAGCACAATTCGTCTAGTGGCATACTATATAATATTATAATATGATTAATATATATTAAAAATTAATTGTTATGCATAGTATAAAATGTTAATATATCACAATTATCCGTTAATATTATGGTTAAAATTAAAGTTAATTTTTTTAACAAATTAATAATTATAATTAATGGACAATGTAAAAAATATTTAGTTATTTTTTTTTTAACAAATTAATAATTATAATTAATAGACAATGTAAAAAATATTTATTATGTCAGTCTATATCAATCAAATTTTATATATTATACGTTAACTTAATGATAGTTTATGTATGACATTTTATCTTTATTTATTTTTATTTTATAAAACAAATGAACTCATTAAATTAATAGACTATATAATAAATTTATTTTCCATACAATTTCAACATAATGATTTTTTTTATAGTGTTAATCAACCATACGAATTATTAATTATAAGCATTTGAAAAATTCAATTATAATTTTTTCATACTATAAATAAGTTGTATATAGTATTTGAAAAATTAATTTATTAATTATAATAAAAGTATTTATTATTCTTTATTGTTTAAAATAATAAATTAAAAAAGTATTAAATTCTTAAAAGGATTATTTGATTTTATCATTTGTAGAACAGTTTTTAAAAATTAGATGACCATATCAATTCTCTCTTTCTTCTCTTTTCTAAAATAGTTTTGAAAATTTTGATTACCAAATAATTCTTTTCCTTATTTTTTAAAAATAAATTTAGAAAACAAATTTTAAGAACTAGAATCTAAAAGTCATTCAAACATTCGGTTATTCTATTTAGGCTCTTCCTTGTCAGTTGTCACTGATATCTATATAAGAATTTGCTGCAATAATTTCATCATATAAAAAATATGTCATCTTTTGTATATGGGATTGGACATGGTACTTCTCATCATGGCCAAAAGCTGGTTTTTCTCCAACTAGAAGAAAAGGCAAAGTCCTTTCTAGTTCTCACAAGTAAAACGGTAAAATAAATAATGCACATCACTTATTACACACCAAAAGTCAAGAGGTAAAAACAAAGTTAAACTAAACAAGATAATTTCATTTTAAATGTACAATAAGAGTGATTAAAGAAAAAAAAACAATATTGTTTTTTTAGTAAATTAGGAGATATTTATGCCAGAAAGGTGCATGCATTTTAAGCTGTGTTCATTTTACTCAAAGTGGAAACTAAAACTCCAACTAGTTGTGTTTTTAGCTGCAAAGGTTTTGATTTTTGAACATTCTACTATGAGTACTAGTAGCATTGAAAGCTTAACTCAAGATACTAAAGATGAGTTGAAAGAAAAAACACTTGAAGAGAATAATGAAGTTGAATTAGAAGTCTTGGAGGAAAAGGTTACCATGATGGATCTTAAGGACATAAGGGGAGACAATGAAGTTTTATCGAATTTCTTGAGGTCTGAGAAAGAGGTGAAGTGGCACATGGCTTTGTTGGGGCTAAGGATTGTTGCTTTTGTGTTTTGTTTGATTGGTTTTTCTATATTGGGTGCTAATGAGCAAAGGGTTTTGGTGAATGAGGAAATAACAAATTGGTTCTCAAGCGGATTTTCTGTTAAAACTCCGTATGAGTTCCATTGGTATGATTACGACGAATTCAGGTATGGTTCTCTCCTATCATTCCATCTTATAATAGTGAGATATGTTTGTTCTTCCCTTGTGATTATAGTGTGTGATTTTGGTTTGGATGTGATTATGCAGGTATAATTTTTCAGTAAATGTGATTGGATTTGTGTATTCTGGATTGCAAATTTGTTATCTAGTGAGGTACTTGGTCACAAAGAAGCATGCTATGAACCCCAAGTTGCAAAGTTACTTCAATCTTGTTATTGATCAGGTAAAGCCTACGGTTTTATTAAGCAAATTCAAATTAATAATTTACAAAAAAGTAGTTTTGTTATTTGGATTTTGGAAGAATCAACTCAGAGTTTTGTGATATAAATTGGTCTTGTAGTTCATATTGTTTTGAATGAACCTATTTGAGGATCACTTTGTTGACATTATTACTCTTTGTCGTTTTGATCTCGATTATAAGTAAATGTAACTAATTGCATATTAATCAAATAATTTAATGAAAGGCAAATCTCCCGCTATTAGTTGGAAATTCAACTTCTTAGTCTTGACAATTCTGTGGCAGTGAGAGAGGTTGAGTCTCACAAGAATATGCAGGCTTATTGATATGGTTGATCTTCCTATGTTGGATAGACAATTTAATTAGCTCCAACTGAGCAATCGTGCAATGAGTCATCTTGATCGTGTATTGTTATCCGAGGGGTGGTTGGCACCAACTAACCAATGAGTTTTATACAGGATGTCTCTAGCTACTACCTCTTAGTTCTGAGGCATTCATTTCATTTACGGGGCCAAATTCTTCAAGGTGAAATGACTATTAGGTGGTTGCTAATAGTTGGAGCACCTGTGTTTCCGGGAGGATGGAGGCTTGGCATTCTTAGAGACAAGCATAAAAGCTTAACAAGTATTTTTCAGTAACTTACATCTGAGGATTAAAAAGACAGTAGGTGAGATTAAAGTGTGAGCTTGAAGGCAGAAAGTAGACTTTTATTAGTGAGAGGTGTTCTCTCTAGAAGTAGAGCATTTAACGAGCTTTAGAGATTCCTTAAAGATAAGAACTCTCAAATCTTTCAAATGTTTAAATCGAGATTACTTAAGAACGGTGATGCAAACACACAATTCTTTCATTCTTGTGTTAAGAGGCGTGCATAGAGGAATGTAATATTGGTTATTTGGGTTAGACAAGTTAAGGTGGAAGGCGTGGCAGTTGTTTCTCACAAAGGTTGTTAGTTTCTTGTGCAATATTACTTAAACAACATCATTGATTTTTCGATGTTGGATGATATTAATTACGTGGGTATTTCTTTGGAAGAAAATAGCCATTTTTCGACCCCATTCCGGCTAGAAAAAATTGATTTGATGGTGCTTAGTTATGACAATAACAAGAGTTAAGGCTATAATAATTCAATTTATCTTTATTTAAACGGTTATGACACATAGTAAGAAATAAGGTTGGTGTGTTGTTTGATAAATTCTTCTTCAACATAATTGTCTTGAGGAATATTATATCGTATTTTGATACTCACTTCCATAATGTGGATTCTCCTAAGAGACTTCAAACCTGTTTTGCTTCTTAGTTCCCTTTATAAGTTGGTGGCTAAGGCCTTGGATACTTGATTATCACCAGTGATACAATCATTTAATCTAATTAGGTGACCTTCATTAAAGATAGATATCTAGTGATCAGGGTGATAAAACTATATTTGTTCTTACATTCAGCAAAGAAAAAGAACAAAATGAGTGCTTTATGTTTAAGGTATATTTTGAAAAGACTTATGACTCAGATAGTTAGAGTTTTTTTTATTACACGATGAAATGGGTCAGGTTATGTCCTAAGTGGATATCTTGGATTTATGCTTGTCCTATCGAGGAGTCTATCGGTCTTTGTCAACAGGTTCCCAACTCATGAGCTATTTATGTTCATAGAAGGCTGAATCAATGATATAGCCTAACCCTTTCCTTTTTCTTTTGGCAATGTAAGGTCTCAATGAATCAATCACGCATGCACATACTCTTAGGTTATTATTAGGGTTCAATGTTGAAATGATGGGTTGATGGTCTTTCACCTTCAATATGTTGATGATACCATCTTCTTGTGAGAAACCATAGTTGAGATCTTTGTTCGCTCAAGATCGCTCATATGTGTTTTTTAGTTTTTCTTGGCCTTAGAGTTAATTTTCTAAGAGTTTGTGTAGAGGGTGAATGTATCAAATTGTTTATTAGGGATGATTGAAAGATTCCTAAACAAAAATTTGGGACCATTTCCTTTCAAATATCTGGTTCTTTAGAATTGGAAACCTTTGTTTAGTTTGATAACTAATAGGCTCACGTTGTGGAGTGATAAGTATGTCAACATTAGAAGGACAATGATGCTTATTGACACGATCCTTAACTCCATCCAGTTCTTCTATCTTTCCTTCTTGAAGATACCTTAAAAAGTATTGCAATATATTGTTCACTTTTAGATGTGTGTTTTCCAATGAGAGACAAAGAACAGGGGGAGGGATTAAGGTCCTAAATAAAGTTTCACGAGTCAATTGGTTCGAGGTGTGTAAGCCAACGAGTAAAGACAGATTTTCAAAAAGATATCTTTCCTAGTTAAGCTCACTCTTTTGTATAAATGGTAATGGAGAACCGTTACCGAGGGAAGAGGTTTAAAGGTCTAAGTAAAATTTCATGGTTTAGTAAGTCTGATATGTGTAAGGCAAGGAGTAACGATTGATATTGGGTAAGAGATCTTTCATAGCTAACCTTTATCTCTTAGGTAAACGACACCAGAACACCCTTACCATGAGACACACTTTGTGGAATAATGCCCCCCCTCCCCCCCGCCGTAACTACTTATGAGTCAAGCATTCCTTTGTCCCAATTAAGATGCCATTTTGAGGGATTTAGGTATACCTCTTTATGGTGGACATTTATTTCTCTTCTTGGAGCTAATTTGGACCCGAGCTCATACAAATTCATTGAGGGATCAATAAAGGTGGTTGGGAATGAACAGTTGGCGTCATTCTGGAAGACTAACTAGGTTGTGTCTATATGCAAGAAATAATATAAACTCTATTAGGTGTCTAGCCAAGGGGATGCTAAGATTGGTTAACTGGTGTGTGGGTATGGAGTTTGTGAGTCTTGGATCTGAGGTGGATGAGAATTGTATTTGTATGAGAGTAAGAGTTTTTAGTCTGTTTATTTGTTACACTTAATAGTGTGGTCATTAATTACCAATCTTGATTTATTGGTTCTTCAATAAGAATCCTAGAATACGGAAGGTAGTTCAATGGAGTTAATATCGGTTTTAGCGAGCATGTGCAAGAGTTGGACCCTTTATAAAGTTATGTTTTTTTTCTGCCATTACTTCAAGATAAAATTCAAACTCTCCAAACCTGTTTAGGAGGAAGGCCATTATGAGGCATAACAATACATTATGTGCATTTTGTGTTAGGGAGGTTATTTTGAATGATCACCTCTTTGAAAGTTGCAATTTTTGTACTTAGTTAATGATATAGTGTTTTTAGATGATTAAATTGGGATATAAAAATGCTTTCAAGTACCTTTTCACTTTTAGAGATTGTTTTTTTTTGTGTGTTTGGTGTTAGGAAAAATGTTAGATCCGCTTTGACATTCACTTGCGTGATTCATTTGAAAGTTGGATAACAATCTTTTTTTCTCAAAACAGACTAAACTACGCATGTTCAACATTTAGTGGATATGATTATATTCTCTTTGTGAAAGTGGTTACTTGATTTATCTAATAACTTTTCTTGTTCTCATTCTGAATGGGGACAAGATCCTCTCGTGTGATTACCTAATATTGTTTTGGATTGTTTACTACAATATTCTCATTGGAGTTTGTTGCAAATTTTGGTTGGTCTTTTTTACTCCTTTTTAAAAACTCCATGGTAATGATACTTCTCTTTACTTAAAGCTAGATGGAGGTCCCAAGTGGTGACCAAATAAATAATATGTCATTTGTTTGCTTATTTGTTTCTATTCTTTGTCTTTTATCTCTTTTTGGCCCAATTACTATATATAACATTTTATTTGTTCTATAATCTTATTGTAGACTTTTTTTCTTAATATATTTTCCATTAAAAAATTAAGAAAATTTATTTTTTAATTTCATAAAAAAAGAATTGTATTACAAAAAAAAAGTCCCTCATGATAACTTCTTTTATAAGAATAAACAGTTATTGAAAAATGAAACATATATTAATTAAGAGAAATTATAGAAGTGTCATCATTGAATATTGTAAAAAGTTTAGCTATGTCTTTCTTAGCAAATCCTTACATAGAGGCTTGTTTTCAACTGCAGGCTTTGGCATATATTCTAATGTCAGCTTCATCATCAGCTGCAACTGGAGCTCATCTTTTGAGAAGCGATTGGATTGAACATGGCGCACACAAGTTCATAGAAATGGCAAATGCATCTGTTGTTATGTCTTTCTTTGCATTTGTTGCCTTTGCCTTAGCCTCTATTGTCTCTACTTTCATCCTTTTTAAGTTCAACTAATTAAAAATGCAATACTCTTTTTTTTTAGTAATATGGTTCTAAGCTACTATAGTGTCGAGTACTATATGTGTTATTTTGCAAATTTAAATTTTATGAAAAGATTCAAAATTTATATATTTTTTTTAAATAGTCTAGTGACTGAAGTTTATCTTATTAAAGATAAACAAATGAAATGTCGTGAGTTCGAACCTGTATTTCTACATTTTGATGTTTTTACACAGTTATCAATTGAGCCGTCTAAACGGAACAAATTTGCATCTCTTTGGTTTTGTGATTTCCTTCATATTTGTTTTGTGATAATCCATATTTCTTTTAATGATTTAACAAACATGATGCATCCCCTTTCTTTTGATTTCTTTATTTGTATGTCCTTGTGATTCTTAATCATTTTCGTCGATGGGTTGGTCACCACACATGACGTAAATGAAGATAGTCATCAATTTCGGTAATGTCTTGTCTTAATTCTTCATCTTTGATTGGTTGCTTTCAAATTATAATTTTATTCCTAAAATCGGGCATTACAAGCCTATTTGCTTGGCTAGTTTTGAATTTAAAATCATCATAAATGTTTTAGCATGCTTGCTACTATCATGCCTAAAATTACTTTAGTCTAACAAATACGTTTTATTTAAGATACAAATATTGTTGATTGCATATGCATTATCTTTAAGATTATCAACAGTGTTAATCAAAGATCCTTTAATGGTAATCTAATATCTAACTATTAAAATGTTTTCTCATTAAATTTCATCTTCATCCTTTTGATTAAATTCTTAATTTAACTTAAACATAAGGGTATTAAGGACTAATTGCACTTATGCTGCAATATTAGAGTTTTGACATTTAATGTTCTGATGTGTCATTTTAGTATAGTTTTTTATTTTATTTTTTACACTTTAAAACACATTTTAGAATCTAGAAAGACAAATTGTGAAGACTTGCAGAACAACTCAATGGTCACATTGAAAAGTGAAAAACTACTTTACATTTTCCATGTGAACCATTCATTATCTCTTGACTCAATGCATTCAAAGGGAATTCAAGAGGTAAGATTCACTCTCTCCTAAAATCATCAATTTTAGGATTATTACAAATGAGTTATATTGATACATTTCTGGATAGATTCTCCATGAAAGATAGTAAACCAGGAGACACACCCGTTGCTAAAGGAAACAAGTTTTGTCTCAAACAGTGTCCCACTACTGATTTTGAAAAACAAGAGATGCATAAGGTTTCATATGCTTCAGCAGTGGAAAATCTTATGTATGCTTAACTTTGCACATGTCCCGATTTAGCATTCATTGTATGGGTTCTTGGTATGTATCTAAGCAACCTTGGTATGCAGCACTGGATAGCAGTAAAGCGTGTAATGTGTTACCTGAAGAGTATAAGAGACTTTATGCTCACGTGTCGTAAGTTAGATAACTTAGAAATCATTGGGTATTTTGACTCAGATTTTGTTGGATGTCCGGATAATAGACGTTCCACATCTGGTTACATCTTTCTCTTGGCTGGAGGAGTCGTCTCCTAGAAGTCTTCAAAACAGACTTTAGTGGCTCCTTCCATCATGGTAGCAGAGTTTGTGGCTTGCTTTGAGGCATCAAAACATGCAATTTAGTTGCGAAACTTTGTCACAAGCCCACGCCTTGCATTGAAAGACATTTGAAGATTTATTGTGACAATAATGACATCTGTGCTATACTCCAACAACAATATGAGTTCTACAAAATCAAAATTTATCGATATCAAGTATCTTGTTGTGAAAGAAAGAGTTCATGAGAAACAAATTTTGATATTTGTTGGAATTAAATCAATTCAATATACATACTTATCATACCATGACATATACTTTATGCAGAATCAAAATTAGTCTTACAAACATGTATAAAATTATATGATTGAGAAATTGATTTTATGAATACCTGAATCCCTTAAGAAAAATGTCTTCAATGATAATCATAAACTCAGAAATTGTTTGTTTTTGTGGTTCTTCCTCAACCAACAGGTACTTCTTATACCTCAAATTCTCTTAAGATGAGAAGAAGAGATAATTTACTTGTTGTACGGTATAGTGGGGACCATAACCTATATATAATAAGACACCCACTCGTATTTGAATCTATATCCAATTATTTAATTAATTAATTAAATAATTTATAAATAAAATTTAAATAATTTTTTTAATATTATTTGATTATTTAATTATTTAAAAATACTTAATTAATAAAATAGTTAATATAATAAATAATATATTTAGTCACATAATTATTAAAATATTAATATATTATTATATTATTAAAATATTGAAAGCCTTTCTGCATTTTCATTTGGTTAGCATCAAAACCAAACAAATTTTGAATCACCGTGGTCCTTACTATGCTGATTGCCCTGGTATAGAAGAATCTTGTCTTCATGCTTGAAGAGACTGCAGCTTAGCAAAAAGTATTTGGGAATAGTTAGTTGCTAGAGAGCATCAATAGCTGTTCTTTTCGCAGGATGGCAGGATTGGTTGACGAATAACATGCAACACTGCTTAAGAAAGCACATGGATGGAAATTGGCAGGTTCAATGTGGGTGATTGCGTTTTTCAATTTTTTTTTTTTTTTTTATATTTTAAAAATATATTTTTGAAAAGTTTTTAGAGATGCATTTTCAAATTAAATCTCAATCTTTGGACATGAGAATGTGTCTGACTATCATTTTATTCTTTTGAATTTTTTTAGTGATATCAACAAAATAAAGGTAAAATAGGGGCATCTGAAAGGTGTCTTATTTTTTATATTTTATAGAATTTATGATTGTTAAAGTGTAATTCAAATTCAGTTAGTTAGTATTTTCATTTAAGTTGTATTTAGAATTAATTTAAGATGCATTCAACAACTTTGTAATATAAAAATTAAACTCAAGATTTAGTTTGGATAGAATTAAATTGTAATTGTTTTTCTGGTAGAGTAAAAATTAGTTACAACATTCTCTTTCTCTTGCATCTTCTTCATCTTCAATCTTGTGCTCCAATAATTGGTATCTAGAGCTCCGATTATGATTTAGAAACGGGAAACACGAGCGTACGTGAGACATATGTGATTAATTATGCTCACTTAATTCACAGTGAATTGAATATCTGAATAATAAAAGAATCACATTTCTTGATTAAGAGGGATTGAGAAACACGAGTGTTGGTGAGAATTTTATGAATTTGCACAAGAACGAAAATGAAAGGTGAAAACAGTAGCTTGAACACAAAGCTTCCAGTATTTGATGGAAAGAATTGGAATCAGTGGATGATTTAGATACATGTGTTGTTTGAAGCTTAAGATGTTCTTGATCTCGTCTATGACGGTAACACGATGGTTGTACCAGACGCAACAGAAGCACAGAGAAATGCGCAAAGAAGGTGTTGATGAGTATATTTGGGGGTGTTTTATCGTATCCACGTGGATTGTACGCAAGATATGTCGATGCTAGCCATTCAATAGTTTAACGTTCTAAGTAAAGAGTTTTCAAAAGATTGCTTGTTTTGTAGCATAAGTTTGTTGCAAAGAGTAAATTGGACAAAGATGTTTTGTTTCAAGAAAAGCATGTCAAAAATAGATTTCGTTAATCCTTTTTAAACGTATCCGATTAATCAAGCATGTGAACTTAGTTTCAATTATACAATCGTGTATCCTCGCGAATCTGTTTATTTCTATAGCGGGTCCGTAAATATTACTATTTTAATCGCTAGATGATTTCTCGAAATAGCAACCGAAACAATAAACATAAAGATCGACACAAAGCAAATATTAACTTTTAAATTTATGTCTAGAGTTTGTTGGTTAATAGATGAATAAATTAGATCAAGACTTAAAAAATCTATATCTAGAGTGATTCAAACCATAAATACATCATTAAAAACAAATATCTTCATCATCTATTGATCATAACCTTGTTCACATACAAACGATCAAAAGAAATACATAAAAGCAAGATTAACTACCTCTAATCTTGACACAAAAGTGTTTAGCTACCCATCAGCATAGTAGCTTGATCAACAAGTAAGAAAAGAAGCTTTGCTAGAATTAAAGTCGAAGAATCGAGGATTGATGCTCTAAAGATTTTATTCTCACTTCTCCTTGAGTTCCTAAGGTTTTTGACCTAGAAAACCCTTTCTATCTCTCAAAATGTTGAAAAGTGTAAAAAGTACAAATGTTGTGAAAATATCTTCCAAGGGAGATATTTATAGACAAGGCTACTAAGTACAGTAAGTGGCACCGTGCTAAGCGGCCTCAGAGGTGCGCTAAGCGCGATCAGAAGAATGCAACCAATTTCCAAGAAGCACGGTAGGAGCCCGCTTAGCGTGGTTTGAGTCTTTAGCTACTAGAATTTTTAGGGGCACGCTAGTCTCGCTCTGAAAAGTTCGCTTAGTGCGCTATGCCGGCACGAAAACTTCAAAAATTGACTTTCAGGTCTTCTTTCCTTCACCAATTATTCCTATCATAAAAAATAAGTATGGAGACCTGTCAAAGAACATCAAAATGATCAAAATTCACAATATTTACACTAAAATCAGAAATTAACATAAATGCACCTAAAACTACTAGATATTAGAATAAGTTATCAAGAAAACCAATTGAAATGGCCATAAAATCAAGTCAAAAGTATGCACAATTTATCCCTTAACAACTCTCCCCAACTTATCATTTTTTTTATCCTCAAACAAAAGTGTCTCGAACTAGAACACGAACTCAAGAACCTCCACAAGAAATCAGAACCAACTCAAAAGCACAATGATAATTTTCATGGTTCAAAAAGCAAAAGTAACAACAAGGTAACTTATCAAACTCCAAACTCCTCATGAAGATGAAACTAAAGCAAAGTGAAAAGACACACTTCAAGACTTCTTGAGCAATACAAGTTCATAACTGAATCACACCTAAGCACACATTCATCAATGGATGAAAATAAAACAAGGTTTTATAACTCACCAAACAATCATGCAGACATCCGAAACTAATTATGAA